TGTTTCCATCATGGCTCAAACACACACACACTCCCACACAACCCCACTTTCTTCTCACCCTCTTCACTCAACCAACGCTGTGAACATTGAGGGCTAACTGCTCAAACAAATCACTCTCTCTCTCTCACTCGCTCTACCTTTCCTCCGCCCGCACACCTGCCTCTCACCTCTTCTCTCCTCTCTCCAAATCATCCCTTTCGCTTTATCATCACAACGGTGTTTAATTCTGCTCAGCCCACACGCTGGACCTGCACTCCATCCCTCGCTCCTCTTCATTTCACTGCTCCATCACTTCTACTGAACCCACCCATCCTTTCATTCACCTGTCCATCTATCTCGTCATCATTCTGTTGACTGCCACAATGCACGAGTCCTCTCTCTCACATGTCCATTCTTCTAAAATGATGCACCATCTATAATCTCTAGTCTAGGTGGTTCTAAAGCTGGGTGATCGATTGGTTAATGTTTACAGTGTTGGTACATGTTTAAACGATTCTGTTATGATGATAATTTTCTACTTTAAACTAATTAGCATAAAGTTGTGAAAAAAGAAGCAACGTGTCCAGAATGATGAACAGAGGTGTAGACGAGTCCTTAGTGAATGTTGAGGTAGTCACTCAAACAAAGTAATCCATTACACATGACTAATTACTTTTCTCAAACTGTAATGGGATTATTTTACTGAATACTTCCTGGAAAAAGCCATCACAACTCATTACTTCTGCATTGCTTTATTTCTACACTACTTTGTTTTTTCCCTTGAGCTCCCTTCATATGTGTGGCTTTATTTACCAGTGCTTAATTTTTACATGATAATTTTCTACACTCTATTAATAGAATTCAACAGGCAGTTTTTGTTACTGTGCATTTAAGACCTATATATGAAAACGAGATCTGTTCTGATTGGCTGCCCTATATTGTGCCTAATTCATAAAGCAGTCCAGGATGAAACTTCGCTTATAACTTCAAAGTGAATGGGCAGGGCTAAACTGCTGAAGGCAGAACAGGATGTATGTAACATATGTATGTATGTGTGACATAACAAAAACAATGCAATACAAATTAAATATGGGCAACTTAAATTCCATACATAGACTGCATGTACAAATGATATATTTTGAAATTTTAACAACGTTTACATATTATATCAAACTTTTCATTCAAAAGGATGAGGAAAACTCAGTTTTCCATGATAAAAGCCAAACACATTTGTATCAGCTGGAAAGTATATGGGAAAATCCAATAGTGCTTTCAGTACTTTATTTAGAAACTAATGACCATTCACAGTAAACATTATTTAAAAGGTCACTCTCCCTGCCTTTACTCTGAGCAATACAAAGCCAGTCAGGCTTTATTAAGATTACGAATGGACGGTTCTTTTTAAGCCAGTAGAAATGTTTCAAAAACAGCTGCCTCGTAAGAAAAACTTTGTTTATGTAAATGTAAAAATGTTGTCTGGCCTGTTTAGGTGAAGCTGGGGCTCTTCAGTACAGCGATCTTTATCCATCAGTTCACCGCTCGTTGAGCTTACAGCAGTGGAAAGTTTTTGCCCATGCTTGCTCTGCTTTGGTCATATTTGCAATGTATGTCGTGCATTCAGCTGACCCAGGTAGTGGACAAGCATGCAAACTACGTACAAGCACAGGCACATATAATACATAGAGATGAAATATGTGTATATGCATTGCACAAATTCTTTGCAAAAGTCTTAAAATTATAATGTGACTACAAGAATTTAAACTGTTTCACGGAAAAAAAATATTTCATAGAAAAGTAATCGCACTGCTGTAATGCATTACGAATGCCAAGCAAAAACCATGACAGCACAGTGTACTTCACTGGCTAGTGGCTACAGAGCGTATACAAAGTCAAACTGACCACAAATCGGATACTGTCCCTCTTGGTTCTTATCACAAATCAAATGTGCTCCCGCTAACAATAAAAATCCTATAAGTAAATTGCTTGTCTATGAATTTAATCCTTGCACAATGCATCACTGTTTCTGCAGTCAGTATGAGAAGAAAACAGTGTTTCGTCTTTGCGATTGCTGCCTTCTTTTTGTGGAGAAGGAACTGCAGCTGTTCCTCCATCTCTAGGAACAAATATCTAGGAACTAAAACAGGGGCATAATGTTTCACAGTGGTGGAGATAAAGCACGTATCACCCTGCTTAATTCTTACTGGTAACTGCTTGACTACTAATTTGAATAAACTTTGCTACAGAGAATCTCTAGTGATGAGAACTGCCACTCAATAATGTTTTCTTGGTTTGTCAAATGTTAAGGACACTCCTTAACAAGTCCAAAATGAATGGGTTGCTGTGGAGCTTTTGTGCAAAATCACAGTCCGCAAACGCTTTATATAGAAAAAATGTATATAGAAAAATGTGCTATGTTTCTAAAAAACAGAACAGCATAAAGTGTTCCAACACTGCTGTTATTTTTTTAGGTGCTTTTGAACTGTAGTTATAGGACTTTCTAACTGTGCTTCATGTACATTCATGATATCAGTGAGTGTGAACCGCTTCACTCAGTCAACGAGCTGATCAGTTCACCAACCAATCAGCAGTCAATAGTAGTAATGCCAACCAATCAGTTCTCAGTAATAGTAATGCTAACATCCTACTGCCCAAAACCAGATTGCTGTACAAAAAAAGAAACATATGGGTGAGTTTTCTTTGATTTTTTAATGTAATTCATCATTCTACTTTCCAAAATTAAAGAAAGGTCCCAAACAAATGGCAAAAAACATGTTTGTTTGCTTGCAGGAGCACTCGAGTATTTTGCCATCCGGTTTTGTCATAAAGGGAGAAACAGGAGGTGGCCAGACTCCCCTTAACCTGGCTCTGCTTTGCTCAATTTTGTCACGTCGCTGACTCCATGCTGCCTCCTGTCACCAGCTTCTTTGTAGCATCACGCCACTGCTGGTGTCAACGCAGGTTTGTACGGCATTCTTTATGCGTAGAATATCAGTACTCAGGAAGCACAGGTGCATTAACCTTATTAATACAAGCTTACATATTATCTCCTTCCGTAATCTGATGATATGGGAAAATATTATGATGTTGAATTCATACCACTCTGCTGTAGGTGGTCCTGAAACCAGCATATTCTCTTAACACATAGTGTTTTAGCCTCTGCACAATAACAGAAAGCTCCCAAACACTTAAAATCTGTATAAAAGCAAGCAGTCTTTGTACTTGTACAATCTAGTGACATATAGTGTAAATCTAGCACATTGGTTATTCTGTACTTACCTGGGCACCTGCAGTGTTGGTTACATGGATATCAGGGGCAGTTAACATTCACGGATGGTTTATTATTCAGTATCTACATGGATCTGTGAATGTTAAGGGGGTAATATAAAGCATGACCTCTGTGGTGTTTAAGTTATAAGCACAATTTCAGAACCATTTAAGCCATTAACTGGCAACCTCACATTCTAGAATATTCTCTTTTACAGTGGCGCATCAGCCTGCAGCAACTGCTGAGCTTAATGCACAGGTTTGCCAGCATACTGATTCTCAGCTACGAGAAAAGACTCAGTATCTTTATCTCTGCTTTGCTCTCTCTCTCTCTCTCTCTCTATCTTGGCTCTACTCCAGTCCTCATCCTTCACTCATTCTGCTTAGCTCTCTCTCAGGCAAAGCCCTATGGAACTGAATCTGCCATCATTCTTATGTGTCTTTCACACAAATCCCATTCACTATCATTTTCCATCTCAGGGACCAGAAAAGGTCAAAAGATGGATTATTGAGATAATGCTTAGGTGGAGCTGCAAAAGAATTCTAAAAATCTTCCCCCTGATACAGATTTCAAGCCAGACTAAATGGATTACCTTCAATCATAGAAAGTTTGCTCCAGCTTTTGTGTTTATAAATAATCCTTAGGGGCATAAAGCTTTGACCTCACGCTTCCATTCAATTCCAATTCTTTAGGAAATAATTCAATATCACTTTACTGAGCTCAATTTAATGAATTATATTATCACCATCTAAAGACCAATGCATCAGATCATGCATTTGTATAGCTTTAAAGGAATGCTACATTGAAAAAACAAATTTCCATAATTTCACACTTACTCCAGATGTAGCTGGTCAGCTAAGACTATGACTGGTGTTCAAATTTTGCTTCTTTAGTTTAGAACTGGAGCTATTAGGCTAATGGTGCTAACAAGCACCAGAAGTCAATAGTCACCCAAATCTTTTTAGTAAATATTTGCTCTCAAATGTCTCTCAAATCATTTCCAGGTCTTTCTTGGCAATTGTCAGTCATACTAGACCAGGCTCCTGTCTCTTTGAATACAGAGACCTTTAAACCTGAAACTGAATGCCATATTAACGTTTCTTTTAATTGAAGAGCACGACTTTCCCCATAAACTACCAGTGAAATGTCTTCTCCTCCTTTATCATGTCTCAGACTTACTATGACTTACTATTGTTGACAATAGTGCGGTGCTGATTTTCGCCTCCGCCACAGAATTCGGCTCCCGTTCACTTTTATATACATCATGCAAGCATTTGAATACTAGATTAGAGTCATGATTTCTGTTGTTTATATAGTTAAAAATATATCTTCAGTTAGAAAATCTTAACACTTTAACACTTTAGAACAGAATTCACAAACATACTGGGTAGCATCCGTATGCCTGCGTATATGTATACATGTGAAGGGCAGTCAAATTTTGACATCTGTTGAATGAAATGGCTGACCACAGTTGCTACCCAGTGAAGTTTTGTTCATTTTTATAGTTCACTGTAAGTTATACTGTGTCCCAAACGACTTTGACAAGTCTGTGTGAACTTACTAAAGACCTGGATGTGGTTTGAGCGCTTTAAAAAAGAGAAAATCTGAACACCAAACATGTCTTTGCTGACCGACCACATCTGGGGTAAATGGAAAACCACTAGTTTAACAACAGCAGGTCCAACAGTTAACATTCCAAACACTGTAATATGTCATCTAATAAATCAACCAAAAAACCTAATAAACATACACTTACATAGTTTCGTCGTTGAGGAATTCCAGTTTGCCGGCCACTTCCTCGTAGTCCTCTCCAGCCTTGGCAGTCCCCTCCGTGGTGTGGTAAGGCACTGCCACCTTGCCCCTCGCTCCAGACGTTCTGTGCACCTTCACCTGCATGACGCCCACACTCTCACTCACACGCGTGGATGCGCTCTCGAACGTGAAGATACCTGCATGGTCATCATCGTAGATGGTCACCGTGGCAGTGTGGGCAGAGCCCAGCGCGGCTTTGGGCTGGACAGGGACGGAGCCTAAGAGGCTGTTGCCAGGGGCAACAGCGTTGGGATCCAGGACGGAGACCTCGGCCCGGTGGACAACACGCGGGTTGCTAAGATGAACGTAGAAGTGTTCATCTTCTTCAAAGATGTCGTCATCAATCACACCAACCGTCAGCTCCTTTATGGTCTCACCTGGTTTGAAGACCAGTGTGCCCTCAGCAAACTCGTAATCTGAGCCGGCGTTAGCTGTGCCGTCCTCAGTGCGGTAGTCCACCTAGGGGAAGAGAGGATAGAGCTGTGATGTAATGCTACAGACCAAGAGCACTCAGAGACTTCAGTGAAATAACAGTAACTGGCAGGCTAGTTTTTGGTTCCACAACAGAGGCTTTTGGGTGATTGGGGTGACTTCCATTACTTTTTATCATATGATCCTCAGAGCTCCAGTACAAAAGTAACAAGGTAAACTTTGGACTAGTCTTGGGCTGATAAATGATATTATCGAACATTGTGATCATTTAAATAAGTGCCGATATTATGCAAATTATCATTCTTCCATTCTCTTTCAAGTGCCACATATTTTTTTGCTTCACCTGTATTAAACAATTTCCTTCATACTATCATTCTAAATTCAAATAGGTATACAACAGAAAAGATTACACAATTACAGCCTACACAAATTGAATATCACCAATTCATTAACTACATACATACTTTGAACACTACTTAAAAACATTATATCTCTATATAATATATATACTATATATATATAAAATAATAGGGCACTTGCAAATGAAGCACAGAATCTGTAACACATGAGATCTACTCTCTGGTTGGATGAGGTGTCCAGAAGAAGAACTCCAATGCGATAGACTGAAAATTTTGCTTTCTCATAAAATGAACACAGGGAACTATTAGAAGCTCCCCAGTTGGTATTTATAGGGTAATTATATTACCATCAGTGAAGAAGCATGCTATAAGGTCCTTTAATGCTCAAATAGTACTTTTGTAACTGAATTTGGATCATAGTAATGTTGTTTATTGTGATAATTTTGCAGATGATAATCATTTGTCTGAATTGAAATTATTGTCCATGTAACTTTGGACACAATGTTATTTTGGCCAATTGATTTTTGTGTGTGTCTTCAGTAACCATTGTTCAGCTAGGCAATGCATGCTTTTCACATGCAGTGTATTATGGGCCACATACGCCCACTGACATCTCCTCAAAATCATATTGTTCTTGTTATATCAAAATCATGTATCTGCACTTTGAACACAGGAGCTGTTCTTTACACTGTGTAATTTTCATGCTTAGTGCACCAATGGAGTCGGTCCAATATGACAAATAAAATTGCATCATATTAGCTAGAAGTTAAGCAAGGACAGCAGTGATATGCAAAACAAATCGTCATAAATAAGTCTTGGCAGAAAAATGTCTAATCATACAGAAATTACGGTCTCAGATCATTTATTGTGGCCAGTATGCTTCACACACGTTGTATCTTTTAGTAACAATGATAACTGACAATGAAAAAAAATGGCAGAGAAATTTAGCAAGCTGTGGTTTCTGTTGGTTTGTTTCTTCATGATCCTCTCTCTCAGTAGGCAGTTAATGGCTAGGTAATGACAGGCAATAATGTGCACATAAGAGCCTTCTGTACTGGCAGTAATAATACTACACCCACAGATAAAATTAGTTACATTGCTGCCGTTCTATATTTAGTGATCTCTGTGTTATCTGTGTACAGTGATCTCTCTGTTAACTTAAAACAATGTCCTAAGACAGTTTTGAAACTGTTTTTGTTTATGAAAAAGGATCTTTACATTGCGTATATTGTTTGAAATCCTTACAAACTGTATATTAGCCAGTATGAATATGATTAAAAACAACATTCACCTCTGAGTAAACTGTTCACCAAATATCAGATCTTTTAATCTAATTTTCACAACATTAATTCCAATTTTCTTGTCTTTTCATAATATTTAGACTCATTTCCTGTGGTGCACGTAATAAGTTAAACGCTTGAAAGATAATTCACTTAAGAGAATTACACATGATGCTAAGTAAGTAGTGCTGTATAATATAATTCATCTCCATAATTTTCCATTAAAATCGAGTGATGCACTAATAGCTTTGAGAGCCCATTCTTACCACCAGGATGCCTCTGAGCATTTAAGGGCTAATATTATCTTAATAGCCATTAAGTGACAAACGCACAGCAGATTGTAAAAATGTTTACCTTCACTGTGCAGCCACTGTCTCCGCCATGTCTGGCCACAGCCAATTTGAGGGAACCACAGTTTTCGAAGCACTGGTAGTGTGAGGGCTCAAACTCAAGGTAGATGGTGTGGGGGTCTTCTTCTTGTGCGTTGGCTTCATGGCAGCTCACCACCTTCCTGGCCTGATCTGCGGCATGCTTCTTCAGGATGTTTCCTGCCCCGATCATCATACGCGTGGCCTGGATACGGTAGAAGGCCCTGCTCTTCTGCTGCTGAACCAAAACCTGGTAGTTAGCCATCTCAATCAGCTGCTCCATGTCCTTCTCCGGATGCCTCTGCTTCAACTCCTTCAGGGTACGTGCCATCTCCCTCCGTGCCTCTTCTTCTTCTCCCCCTCCTCCACCAGCTCCTCCGCCCCCTCCCTCTTCCACGCCTGCCAGCATGCCATCCAGCACCTCCTTGTGGTGGGAATTGGCCCCCTGCCCATCCATCTCCATGTCCATCTTGGTAAACATTCCATCACCCTCAGTCTCAATGATGATGCCACGGTTCTTGTCGGCCCGGTAGCGCTTGTGAACGTACTTGTAGAACAGCAGACGGCGGTCTGCGACCCAGGCCTGGACAACGCAGATAGGAAAAAAGAGGAAGGTCAACACAGCCTCCCAAACCTCCACCACACCAGGAGAAAAAACGGACAAGATCAGGTAGAGCCAGATGTAGGCGAAGATACTCCATGCTGCTGTCACAAAAAAGACTCTCAAGTGTTTGATTTTTCGAACCTCGCCATCAGGCACCACATAGACGCAGATGGCGATGATGATGAACATGTTGAAAGCAGCACTGCCCACAATGGTGCTGGGACCGAGGTCCCCAGCCTCAAAATTGTGCCCACAGACCTCAATCACTGACAGTAAGATCTCTGGAGCTGAAGAACCCAAAGCCATGAGAGTCAGGTTGGAAACCGTCTCGTTCCAGATTCGCACGGTGGCCGTGGTGGTTTCGCCATTGGGTTTCTTGATGGTGATTTCCTTCTCTTGCGAGGTGATGACCTCGATGGAAGACATGAAGCGGTCAGCGATGATGGACATCCCCAAGAACATGTAGATCAGAGCAACAAAGTAGACGATGGCACGGGCCACCTTGTCACCCACCGATGGATTCTGGGGATTCCACACAGGGAGCACCACGCCCTCAGAGCAGCTGGACTTGCCAGAACAATTCCCTGGAGTGCTCTGGTACATATCAGAGCTGGCCTGCAATGGCTCTGTAAGACCCAAGAGAAAGAGGAGGACTGTGGACAGGCAGGGAGCAAAGGAGTAAGGGGGAAATCTGAGACGTATGTGAAGCATGGTTTTGCTGTGTCGATGATGGAATCCACTGAAAGAGTTCTTAAAAAACGTGGCAGTTGGGTCCACTATGGAACACCTATGAAAATGAACAAAAACAGAAAGCGGCACACTTTAAATGAAACCCTTTACACCAGAAATCAGACAATGAATTTTGGTTCTTGTGGGCCAGAGTCAACACAGTTTGATGACTTCAGACTTATCAGTTTTAATACGTGTGTAGGAGTAGAGAAATGACCAAACTGTGCTGGACTCTCGCCCTGCAGGACCAGATGCCTGTGTTAACATGTCCTTATGCACTTGGTCTTGGCATTTCCTCTCATTATATTCTTTATTAGGTCAAGTGAACTTCGTTGGAATAACCCTTTGGGGGGACAATGGTTAACATATAAGTGTTAATAGAACTTTACCAGAAATCATTGCGACCTGACTTATTTCCCTTTTCAAGCCTGAAAAAAAGTCAGACGAAGCTGTTTATAAGCCGTAGCCGTAAAACACTTTCAAATGCTTAATATGTCAAACCAATAACATTCAATTCTCTGTGTTCACAGTGGATTTAGGGTAGAAAACTACAGATGGTAGCAAATGCGATCTAGCTGAATATCTATATCACCCACCACCCCATGTACTATGAGTAGCCACTTGTGTAAAGTATGTGGTGCACTTCGAAGCGTTGAGTTAAAGTTGGTGAGAGCTTATTAAAAAAAGCAGATACTATTTGCAAACTAAGTGCAAATAATGATGTTACTATATACATGTAGAGTAAATAGCGTGATTTTACTATTTATAATTAGTGTTCAAAGTAACATCATACTATTTAAACATACATAATTATATGCTATTTTATACTATTTCTTGCCACTGATTCAGCACTATTAGCCTATATTTCAGCAAAGATGTATATAAAATTATTCTGCTTTTGTTCCAAGCTGTACTTGAGGTCATTCTTACTAACCACTCTCTTTTGCTGTCTCTCTCAGGGTTATTGTCCTTGTTTGATTTGTTTCTGCTATTGCTTACATCCATACTTGCTTGTATTTGCATATCACTGTTGCAAGAAGAAAACCTCATTTTTCAGTTTTTGATAGAATTTGAAAATATCTGTTGCCCTTTTCATTGTATGTAAATTCATCATGAATGGACTAAAAGAAATGACCCAAAATTACTTGGAAAACAATCTGGTTCCATTGACTTACATTAAAAGTAAAGTTGATTTTTTACGTCCCCTGTAAAGTTACCATTTTGGAGATACGAGGTTATCTTCCGACAACAGCGATATGTGCATTTTAATAAAAAATCTAGTTTGTCCATATGCCTATAAAAAGTACATTTTTATTTTGATTGAAATTAAATACATTTTATTTAAATACATTTTTTTAAATACATTTTTTTATTATTTAAGACAATAATAATGGACAGTACATAATCATTTAGAAACATAAAAAGAACATAAACATACTCTCTTAAAAATCCAAGGCTTAGTACATACTAAGGTTTATTATTCAGTAACTACAGGGACTTCAGTGCAAACTGGCTGAGCTATTGTTAGGTTGTAGAAGAGTGTAATAAAACCTGGCCATTTAAGGGGTTAATTAAAAATTTTAAAAGTTTAAACTGCCAAACTACAATGCCAAAAAAACTCAAAATTACAGAAAACAGTGTGCAAACTCACTTTTTGCCCAAATGGGAAATCAAACCCTATTCTTAAACATGAAGGGCGGCGGTGTTATCCACTACCCTGTTCTAACCAGCATCATTCTATTGTCCAATAAAATGTTTCACCTTTAACAATTGTTACGGTTAGTTTGATATTTTCATGACTTATTGATTAATATTTATGTGGAGTTACAGGAACATTAGGTTCACGTTTGTTGTGGTTAATACTAAATAACCTTGTTCTCTAATTTTCCCTTGAACACAGCTTCTTCCAGTGCTGGTGTCCCCAACGGAAGGTATGAAACTTACAGCAAAAATTGGCGTCTTGGTGTGCTATTGTCACATAATTACCAGACGGAGTTACTACAAATAACCAGGCTGTGTGGTTAGTAGTATTTTCACTTAGTGTAAATAGACACTGCCAAAAAATATTAAAACAGGGCCCAGAATAGATGCCTTAAACCCCTAAACTCTATATTTGTGCATATTTGCTTCCACAGTTCAATTCCTCATTCATACCTATATAGCTTCCACATTAGTTTTAAAGCAGTTACTAAAAAAAAATCAGTTACTGAATTATACGTTTTGAAATAACTGAATCATAAGCCTAGACTTCCAGGCTTAAGGCCGCACTGATGTTGTTGTGTATTGCAGGCTACACGGCACATCAGTTATCCTCTTCCTATTCTTCTCCTTGCCGAAGGCACAAATTAAATTTGTACCTTCCTCTACGAGGTGAACTCATACATACAGTACATTCAAATTAAGCACTTCATCCTTGCATCAGTAATCAGACCGCCCGAAGCTCCAATCTTCAAGATTCATCCTGGGAGACAAAAGCCGCTGTGCTTACAGGAAGAGTCACCGCAACAGTACGGAACGGCTCACAGATACATGAGCCAGGGTGTCATGTCTATGTGTGAGTGGGTAGGTCGGTCAGTTGTATAGAGGACACGATTAACGCTGACAGACTGTACACACATAGAGAGGCAGCTCATGGCATTTAACAAGCTACACACGCACAGTGTCAGTGCTCGGCAAACTATTATGGAAATGTGACTAAATTATCCTTGGTTAACATAATGTAATCTTCTTGATGACTCTGAAAGTGTAATCTTATCTAATTGTGTTTGGATTATTTCTAGCTTTGTAGCTAAAATCATTTTGAGATTCATGGAGCCACTCTTTTCCCCAGAACATTAACTGTTTTATGGTACACATAAAAAGAGACTGCAGAATCTAGCAGAATTATAGTTTACAATTTTACTGGGCTATGTATGTGTAAACTTCAAAAACAAGAAATCCATCTTGTAATCATGTAGAAGTAACACATTTCAAGGATGCATAAAGTGACACATTTTTCAAATGAGTGCTGGGTGATAAATTCTTCATTTCTATAATCTGATTACATAAAACTGATTGCAAACCAACAGTGCATACTGTGTATGGAGTATTACATAACTTGTCACGATGAAGAGTATATCAATATTACATAAAAATCTCATAAATTTTACATTATAACCCTTCTTGGGCTGTTGCCTTCCTTACATCCCCTCAGGACTTAAGAGAGTAACATTTTTACTTTTCACCCAGTTTAGTCCTTTCCAATCCCCAAGCTTGTCTCTATAAAGTATGACAGTGCCTCCAGTCTAGGAGGCTCAAGGCTGCATCCTCAGGCTTCTGAGATGTTTTTGAGCGCTCTGTGGTCTTCAGTATTTCAGAAAAGCTGAACCTTACTGTCCAACCCCTAAACCAAAATGCAGATCCAACTGCTACATAGCAGAAGCTTGGAAACTCTAAAAGTCAGCAACAATGGAATATAATCAGTGATTATATAGGTAATTCTAGGTAAGAATAGCCTAAATGTAATGTTGGCTAAACTTCTCCTTTAAAAAAATGATACTATATTTTATTGGCAACCTAACACTGGATGAACAAACAAATCTAAGTTGGTTAAACAAATTAATCTTCATAAGAATGACTACAAAAGCAGCTGTTAAGACGATCTTAATGTTGCTCTGATAGTTTAAGTTCTCTCAACAGTTTCTTTCTTACAGTGCATTTTGTATTGTGAAAATATCTTTAAGTATTGTCATTATCTACTCTCACTTTTTCTTCTGTCTCCTAAGTCCTATCTTTCTTCCAGTCTGTCTGTCATGACTGTGACCTGAAACAGTGACCATCACTGGGATGCAGCACTGCACAGAGTCAGTGGTGCCTTATACTTCTTTGAAGAATTTCAGCAGACATGTTTGCATAAGAGCCCGGGTCATGCCGAGGTGACCAATGCATTTGTCTCTTTGACTCATACGTACACAACACTCACAAGCATCGGTATCTCCAGGCCCCTTAAGCTGCTGAGTATTCTCTGAACTTCCACCCTGGATGTCCTGCAGTGTAGGAAAGCCAGGCTGTTGCTCAGTGATCCTGACGTTTACCCCCTTATTCAGCCAGCCAGTAATCAGACCTACTAACACCCAGGATGAGCAGGCTAAACTCTAACAAAGGCTAGTGGGCCAACACTTTAATTCCCCACTTTCTTAACCCTAAAACCTGAGGCTGAATTAATATAGTGAAACTTTTACGCAGCTAGTGCATGTAAGTTTTATTATGCTAAATCACCAAAATTAGCAGCTAGTATTTTTTATATGCTGCAGTGTGATATTTAACCTATTTTGTATATTTTAATTTCATTTCATGAGAAAATTAGGAGAAAATGAATAGCAATACAGCAGGCTAACAAAGCAGGATTAATTTTGGCACAAGCAGCCATTAAAATCGTTGTCATATTAACGTTAACTGGCAACCAGCAAATAAGCAACATTATTTCAAAGACCATTCTTTTTCATTTTCTTGTTCATAATGACTCAACTAAAATCAGCTTGTTTAAATGATATCCTATGATGTGATCACATAGTACGCTTTGATTGGCTGTTTCATGACACTTGTTTCACAAAGTTAAGAAAGTTGCAGCTGAGTTTTAAACAAGTTTCAAGTGACTTGCAGGAGGCTTTACATTATGTAACACAATGCAAGTCTTAAGCAACAAAAGTTGCATGAAAGCTTCACCATTTAAAACAAGGTTAAGGACCCATATATGGACCCCCACTTCAGTTTTTTACTGCCATAAATACAGAATGTACATAGCCGTTTCATAGAACTTACAGAATAAATTACAGTAGTTGATGAATAATAAGTCTTAAGATTAATAAATTAATAATAAACTGAGTTCAAACAGTTAAGCTCCCATTGCCCTGCATCATTCTCAGTACACTGAGCACTGTTCACATGCCTGTGTTTTGAACGTGTGTGTTATGTGACGCGCATCTATGTGACATCCTCATCAGCCT